ATCATCATCATCATCATCATCATCATCATCATCATCATCATCATCATCATCATTGTCTTTCTCACCCCGAATCAGGATATAAGCCACGATCGTTCCATCTTTTCTACCCTGAGCTAGCCTCTTAGTGTTATTCCACATCTTTCCACTTTTCTGTACATCAATTTCTGTGACTCTTCTCCAGGTTTCACAAGGTCTTCCCCTTGACCTTTGACCGTGTGGCTTCCAATCCAACACTTTCCTTGATCACCTGCCTGACTTCCTGAAAGTATGTTCAATCCATCGCCACCGCCTTCTTACCACCTCATCACTGACTGGGTTCTGTCTTTTCCTCTTTGTCCATCTGACCTTCAGTAACTTCCTTAGACACTTGCTCAAGAAAACCTGAATTCTTCTTATGCAAGTTTGAGATGCGTTCCATATCTCACATCCATACAAGACAGACTGACTTACATTGGACATACACGCTCATAACAGCAAGTGCACACACACTAGCGCACGTGCGCACACATGCGCACACAAACACACACATTTACACGAACACACACACACATACACAAACACACACACACACACACACACACACACACACATACACACACAAACACACACATACACATGCGCTCACATACACGTACGCACATACATAAACCCATCAGAAAACCCCCCCACTGATATTTGATTGCTTGATTTTCATATACAATGATTAACACATGTTCCATACTTTTGTATCCGACGGTTCGGGCCACCAATGACGACACGCGCAAGAACAGCGCTCTTTGGGCAGACGCGAACCCCGCTCTCCATGGCGACGGAATTGGACCGTTAGCAACCACAACACCACCACTTCCACCCTGACGACGGTCTGTGAGGCCCAATACAAGAACGTTTCACGGCCTAAAATATAAACCATTTTGTGTTTCGATCTCCGAAATTCGAGAGAAACATATCATCACTTCTTTAACCGCTGTCACACACGCGTGTACACGCGCGTGTGTGAGTGAGTGTGTGCGTGTATGTGGCTCTGTGGCTGTTTTCACGACGAGCTACGACGGTGCCCCGATCTGCTACCACTCATTGTCTGAGTCCGATACAGCCAAAGACGGGAAGGAAAACTGATAAGAGAGACGACTCGGATTCTTCCAACATCAGAGTATCCCACAACTCTCGCGAACGTAAGAGATGCTTATGGCCGTGTGTGTATGTAGTTGGGGCGAGTGGTGCCTCTCAATTCTCGAAACCCGACGCTCATCCGCGTTGTTGTAGATCTTGATTTGTCCCTAGTCCGGCTCTTAGCAAAGCCAATACTCCCTCTCTCTCTCTCTCTCTCTCTCTCTCTCTTTCACACACACACACACACACACACACACACACACACACACACACACACACACTCAGTATAGCTCTCCACCACTCCGTCTCTCCTCAGTTTTACTAAAATTACGGTTTAAATCTTTCATTGCCAGGCCCGAGAATTGAGTAATGAGGCTCGTCTTCTGGTAAAAGTGTGATTCCTGCGTTACATATATCTTATCTTATAAGAATAGGAATAATTCATTGTAGGATATTTCTTCGTTTGATTTTAGGAATTTGGTATTGTCGTTGTCCTCTCTCCACCGACGGCCCAGTAACCGTCAGCACTTTCAACCCCACAACGAAAAGGATAGTGAGCTGATCTCGAAGATGTGACCTTTTTGTTTACAAAGACTTTGCCCTCCTCTGCAGACTCTCAAACTGTTGTTTTTTTCCTCCTCTCAGCCACTCGAACAAGAAAATTCAATTACCTACCTTCAGTTATTTAAAAAAGACATCTAAATGTGCAGAAACAATGCCATTCAATAAAAAGAAGAACAGATGCCTACATAGCATTGCGTACATTGTCATTTTTTATCCATTTCTTGGGTTACGTCACAGAAAACAGTCAAATTTAAGTAACAAACTCCATAAAAATGAATACATTTTTAAAATCATTAAACATTATATTGAATAAAATGAATTGAAGTTCTTGCACCAGCAAACCTTATAATTTACAGTGTTCCTTGTGGGTACAGCAGCAGCTGTTGTAGTACCATGGCTAATGACGTATTAACTGAGGCGTCGGTACTGTTAAATGTGGACAAAAGGGGAGTTACCGCTTGGGTGAGGAGTTGAGAATGTGAGGGGGACGGGGCGATGGGACGTTTAGACGATGATAATATTTCATTTCACACTTTTTTTTAAAAGGATGTTGTCAAGAGGCTGTGTTATGTTATTCAGCTCGAAAATCATTGGCCCAAGAACTGAGCACTTGGCACGCCGAAATTAAGTGGTGTGCTTGATTTGGAAGATTGATGATCGATTAATACATCTTGAAATCGATCGTTAAATTTAGGAGCCAAACCATTGTAAAATAGTTAGTTATATTAAATACAGTTATTTTGGAAAATTGGTTCATCAATCTTTGAAACACATCAATTCCAGCTTATGGTCCATCTGTATCTCCATTGTAACGATGATAATAATAATCACAACCTCTGATGTTGATCCTATTTTTGTAACAGAATAGTATATAATATGATGTCGAATGCAGCGCAGTCGACGTCATCGTCGTCATCGTCGTCATCGTCATCATCATCATCATCATCATCATCATCATCATCATCATCATCATCATCATCACCGTGACAAACCACTCGCGCAGGAAAGAAGACTTCATCAACAGCCTACGGGCAATGATCTAGATGCCACCACATGTTTCGTTCCTCAAACTCATTTTAAAAAGAAAATATACAATATACGTGTGTGTACGTTAGAAAAAAACGAATCAGAGAAAGGAAACAAAAGAATTGTCTACATACACAATATCTAATCATATTCCTGTACACCGGAAAAGTACGGACATAGTCTTAAAATATCCTAGCTCGTGAACTCTGACGTAAATCCGCTCCACTTTGGAGCAAACCATGTGAATCAATATGGAGCCAATAAATGACGGGCAAATAAGAGTGTGTATGGATGGGTGGGTGGGGGGAGGGGGTGCGCTATCAACTATAACGAGACAGTTCCTTTGCTATATTATGCAGCGAAGTTTTTGTCGATAGAAAAGAGCGACAGCCATGAAAATTCACGGTCTAGGAATATTATTCCATGTATTATTAGAACTCGCGTCTGTGAGGATATGATGGTTTAGGAAAATTATTCCATGTATTATTAGAACTCACGTCTGTGAGGATGTGATGTGACAGATGTAAGCCGTTCACGAGGAAGGAAGTCTGTTTTTAGTATCGCAAATGAACATGTGTAACGTTTTGTAATGATAATTATAATTAATAGATTTTTCTGAGCGCTCTGTTCCCTATTGAACTCGACTGTGCGCTTTACTTCAATAATGTAATTGGTCGTTCAAGAGGCATACGAGCTCATAAAACTATTCATATTACTATTATTGATTTATACACGTACAGTACGTTTAAACACGCAGACAACCACACACACACACACACACACACACACACACACACACACACACACACACACACACACACATACACACACACTTTTTTATTTTGCCTCAACAACTTTTATATCTAGATCTATGTAGAAACAGATTTCTGTGTGGATTTTTTTGACTGAAAAACGTTGGTCAAAGGCACACAAAAGTAAATTTTTAGCTTTCAAGACTCTCGAGCTTTGAAAGTCATAACTCTTTGATGGCCAATTTCTCGCTAATTTTACCTCTGAAACCAGGAGACCCCTCCTCCTTTCATCGCAAATATATCGACTTTTATTCAAGATACTTGGGGGTTTCTTTTAATTAAAAAAAAAAGAGAGCAAATGAACTGGTTTTAAAATGATACCAATAATACCATATGCCCAAAGTTTGACGAGCGCATGATTCCACCACGTCGCACACATAATAATAATATGCTCACATTTTGACTTCCTTTCGGAGTCTAATGATTTAACCGTGGAATTCAGGAATATTTAAGCATCGTAGGTCTGCTTAAAGTAAATCGCAGAGGTATAATGAACGCTGGTTTTAGCGTTTTTGCTGCGCAGGTGTCAAGATAGTTATTCAATTCACCGGATTTTTAAAGATTTTTTTTCTTTTTGCAGTTGTTTTTTGTGTATTGTTGTTGTTGCTTTTGTTTTGTTTTTCTACTGAGCTCTAAGCAGGAGATTTTGCCAAGGAGATTTAAATGTGTTCCCGCGGACATCTCCATGTCTAAGTACACCCCGAGGTTTTTTTTTTGCTGTAGTTCTAGTAGTTACAACAATTCTGCCACTGCTGATATAAATGGTGTCACACCTTCGATTCTGAGCTTACATTTATGGAGCACGGCATCATTTCTGTCTTCTTTCTATTACGACAGAATATTATTTTTTTAAATAATAATATTCAAACGACTGATTACTAAGAGAGTTAATTTTTGTATCAAATTCTATAAACAGTTGGTAGTCAATAAGACAATGGGGAGTTCGCAGTGTGATAGGAAGTAGAAACAGAGACACAAAGCAGGCAAACTAGCAAGTAAGCAAGCAGACAAACAAGAAAAAAGATACATGGACAAAAGAACAAGCAGGCTAACACACAAAGAGATAGAAGAATTAAACTGCAATGGTGGGTCGGCAGCTGAATACTTTTACTATACCGTATTTTGTAAGTCACGTGTCGTGGAAGGGCTGTCCGAGCTTTGTGAGTGCTTGATGGACTCTCTGGTGCTGTTCGCTTCTTCTTTCCTATCAAACGCCTATCGTCATTATCTCTCCCACTGTCTTTTTAAAACAAAATTAGTCACTAATTACATCTTTACTCTTCGGTATTTATTTGATCAAATGTTCTAGCAAGTACTGTGAAACTATGACTAAATCTAAAGTAACATCCCCGATCTTTCATCTGTGTGTTAGTGTCTTGGTCGTCGCTGCTTCGATTTCCTTCCATAGTGCTGTCAAAAATTCGTGGCGCGACTTATTTTCAAACATCTCTTCAACTATCGAACATAGGACCTCCAATTTTTGCACAGTGACTTGTATCAATTTGTCTTAACACATCAACATTTTTGTAAACACCTGCAAGCTGTATTCTAGAAAATCCCTTAATAAAATATACTAATAAAAAAATCCAAGCTGGTTGTTTCTACAGATTTTTTAATGTTTACAGTTGGGGCAATACTGTTTTTAATAGCAAGTCCGTCATGTTTTTCTAATCGGGACCTTATGCGTATTGAACGCATGTTTTGAGAGCCATTAGTTCAAAAATGTGTTCACTATTTAATAATGTATTGTACCAAAGATAGTACATGACAAGATGGGCCACTCAGCCAAAAAAGTGTCCGCCGGAAGTCCGCTCTTCGCTTCAGATGGCGCTGCAGTCTGTTTTGAAGCTCTCTTTCGTTTTTCCAGAAGAGGAATATGAATAGCACCTCCTTGCGTGGGCAGATCGACTGCTGTTCATCAGCAGTGTTCGGGTTCGTTCAGTGTGGAGTTTTAGTTGTTGTTGTTTTTTTATGACCTCTAGCTTTTCATTCTAAAGTCAAATTAAACGAAGAAAACAATCACCCTTTCCTCCGGAAGAGGTTTTTTGGTTACCATTTTTAAAAAGCGTTCTTCCGAAATTCATTCAAAAACTTGCTAGTTTCACTTTGATTTTTTACACTCAAGCAGGGTAACTCTGTTCGCAAAGGGTGCGCATTTGTGAAGAGGGCACCACCGAATTTTGAGGACACTTTTGTAATTGGCTCAAAGAGAGCAGTGGCCCCTCTTGTTATGTAGACTCTTTGATTGTACAAAAGTTTTGCAAGTAAAAATTGTCATTGATGAGCTGTCATTGATAGGCCATATGCGTAATCAAAATGTGTATGAGAAGCGGGAAGTGCCGTGAACAATACCATTTTACGTGTGACAGAGATTTCAAGTATTTTATATAAATTAATGAAGGAAAGTTTTTTTAATCTAACCCCAATTGTTCTAGAAAAATATCTTTTAGTCAAAACATATTAATACAAACTGCTATGCAAAGTATGGATGACATTGATTCATCCATTAAAGAGATATTTGAGGATGATAAGTTGCACCCCGAATTTTTTAGTGCACTATAGTCTTTCTGTCAGCTCTGGAAGTGTTCCGAGCTGATAGACACGAATTATATGAGCTGAGTCGAGAATAAAGAGAGGACACCCTTGCATTGTACATTATG